TAGCCATAAGTGTGCCACTGCACTCCAGCCTGGGCAACAGTGAGACTCTGACTTAAAAAAATAATAGGCTGGGCTCGGTGGCTCAGCCTATCATCCCACACTTTGGGAGGCTGAGGCAAGAGGATTGCCTGAGCTCAGGGTTTCGAAACCAGCCTGGGCAACTTGGTGAGAACTTGTCTGTACACTATCAAAAAATAAACCCGGTATGGTGGCACATGCCTGTAGTCCCAGCTGCTCAGGAGGCTGAGGCAGGAGGATCACCTGAACCCAGGAGGTTGAGGCTGCAGTGGACGCGATTGTGCCACTGCACTCCAGCCTGGGTAACAGAGTGAGACCTGACTCAAAACAAACAAACAAACAAACAAACAATAAAACGGACGAGTTCACAGACAGTAGTAGGCATACTTTAAACCTCCTTCCCCACAAAAAAACTACAGGGCCAGGCCTGTGACTCACTTCTGTAATCCCAGCACTCTGGGAGGCTGAGGTCAGAGGACTGCTTGAGACCAGGAGTTGGAGACTAGCCTGGGCAACATAGTAAGACCTTGTCTCTACAAAAAATTAAACAATGAGAAATGAGCTGGGTGTGGTGGCACTTGTAGTCCCAGCTTCTCAGGAGGCTGAGATGGGAAGATGACCTGAGACCGGGAGGTTGAGGCCACCCTGAGCTGTGAGCATGCCCCTGTACCCCAGCCTGGGTGACAGGAGACCCCGACTCAAAAGAGAGAGAGAGAGAGAGAAGGAAAAAAGAAAGAGAGAGAGAGAGAAGGAAAAAAGAAAGAGATAGAGAGAGAGAGAGAAAGAGAAGAAAGAAAAGAAAGAAAGAAAGAAAGAAAAAGAGAAATACAGTAATCATGGCAGCATAAACGTGAATGCACGTGACTGTCTTGCTGTCTTGTTACCGGAAGTGCCTATTAAATTACCTGGTCCTTTCTTTTTTTGTTTTTTGTTTTTTTGAGTTGGTGTCTCACTCTGTTGCCCAGACTGGAGTGCAGTGGCTGCTCCCGCCCACTGCAGCCTCGACCTGCTGGGATCCGGCGATCCTTCCGCCTCAGCCTTCCGAGTAGCTGGAACTACAGGCGTGCGCTACCACGCCCGGCTAATTTTTTTGATTTATTGTGGAGATGAGGTCTCGCCAAGTTGCCCAGGCGGGTCTCAAACCCGCGGGCTCAGGCAATCCACTCACCTCAGCCTCCCAAAGCCCGGGATTACAGGCTGAGCCACCGAACCTGGCTTTACCTGGTCCTTTCTTCTCTCCCAGGGCTGTGTCTGGGCCAGGCTGGAGCACAGGGCGGTGAGTCCTCCCCTTCACCATTCTCCCTCCCTTGGGGTCTTTGGCCAGGAGATTGTGTGGGTGGGGTCTCTCGGGAGGCTGATTCTGGGCTCCGCTCCCCTCCAGGCCCTCTCCCCAAGCCCTCCCTCCAGGCCCTGCCCAGCCCCCTGGTGCCCCTGGAGAAGTCCGTGACCATCCGGTGCCAGGGGCCGCCTGGCGTGGACTTGTACCGCCTGGAGAAACTGAGGTCCAGCAAATACGAGGACCAGGCGACGCTCTTCATCCCGGCCATGAAGAGAAGTTTCGCGGGCAGTTACCGCTGCTCCTACCAGAACGGGAGCCACTGGTCCCCACCCAGCGACCAGCTGAAGCTGGTTGCCACAGGTAACGGGAGGGAGGACGGGAGGGAGGGGATGGAGGGGCTGGATCCCACCTGGGCCCGTGTGGTCCTCAGGGGTGGCCTCGAAGGGGGTGAAGATGGGGTGTTGAGGACAGTCAGTCCAAAACCCCACAGGGCTGGGATTCGGGTGAGGCCAGGTAGGCCCTGGCTTGGGGGTGGCAGGGCTGCAAAACTCAGTGAATATTGAGAATAACTTTAAAAAAATTTAGAGTCAGGTTCTCCCTCTGTTGCCCAGGCTGGAGTGCAGTGGCATGCTCACGGCCACCACCGCCTTAACCTCCGGGGCTCAGGGGATCCTCCCGCCTCGGCCTTCTGAGTAGCTGGGACTACAGGCATATGCCACCACGCCCGGATAATTTTTAAATTTTTTTGTAGAGAAGAGGGCTCACCTTGTTGTTCAGACTGGTCTTGAACTCCTGGGCTCAAGTCATTCTCCCACCTTGGCCTCCCAAAGTGCTGGGATTACAGGCATGAGTCACCATACCAGGCCAATATGAATAGCATTTTAATGCAATCTTTTAAACTCAAAATCAACTCCAAACGTCCACACTGAACAAAACATCACAATTTTATTGATTCACTGACTGAGTCCAAATCTCACTCTGACACCCAGGCTGCTGGGCTCAGGCAACCCTCTCGCCTCCACCTCCCAAAGTGCTGGGATAATGACGTGAGCCACCGCACCCAGCTGGTTTATTTATTTTCAAAATTAAAAAAAAAAAAAAAGGTCAGGCACAGTGACTTAAAACTGTAATCTCAGCACTTTGGGAGGCTGAGGTGAGAGGACTGCCTGACCTCAGGGGTTCGAGACCAGCCTGGGCAACTTGGTGAGGCCTTGTCTCTTCAATAAATAAAAAAATAAGCCGGGCATGGTTGCGTGCGCTTGTAGTTCCAGCTACTTGGGAGGATGAGGCAGAAGGATCGACGGAGTCCAGCAGGTCGAGGCTGCGCTGGCCGTGAGCGTGCCCCTGCACTCCAGCCTGGGTGATGGAGTGAGACTCTAACTCAAAAAAAGGAAAAAGTTCAACTTTGTTAAGGTGTCATTGACAAACAGAAACTGTATCTATTTAAGGTATACAACTTGATGCTTTGATATATGTACACGCTGTGAAACAGCCACCGCCATCAAGCTAACTGACACACCCATCACCTCACACCTTGTTTTTTTGGTGGTGAGAACAGTGAAGATCTACCCTCTCAGCAAAGTTCAAGTATACACCACAGTATTGTTGTCGTATTGGACAAATTATCTAACACCAGATGCCTTGGTTTCATTTACAAATAGGGGCATTTGGTTGGGAATGGTGGCTCACGCCTGTCTTCCCAGTACTTTGGGCTGAGGTGAGAGGACTGCTTGAGGCCAGGAGTTCAAGGCAAACCTGGGAAACAGTGAGATCTGCGTCTACCAAAACCTTTTTTTTTTGAGTTGGAGTCTCATTCCGTCGCCCAGACTGGAGTGCAGGGGCCGCTCCCAGCCACCGCAGCCTCGACCTGCTGGGCTCCGAAGATCCTTCTGCCTCAGCCTTCCAAGTAGCTGGAACTACAGGCGCGCACTACCAACCCCGGCTAATTTTTTATTTATTGTGGAGATGAGGTCTCACCAAGTTGCCCAGGCGGGTCTCGAATCCACCGGCTCAGGCAATCCACTCACTTCAGCCTCCCAAAGCGCTGGGATTACAGGTTGAGCCACCGAGCCTGGCTTGCCAAAAACTTTAAAATTAGGTGGGCATGGTGGTCCATGTCTGTAATCCCAGCACTTTTGGAAGCTGAGGTGGGAGGGTCGCTTGAGGCCAAGAGTTTGAGACCAGCCTGAACAATATGGTGAGACCTCATCTCTTTTGTTTTATTTTGTTTTTGAGTTGGAGTCTCACGCTGTTACCCAGACCGGATTGCCGTGGCATGCTCATGGCACCCACAGCCTCGACCTGCTGGGCTCAGGCCATCCTTCCGCCTCAGCCTTCCAAGTTGCTGGTTCTACAGGCATGCACTACCATGCCTGGCTAATTTTTTGATTTATTGTAGAGATGAGGGCTCACCAAGTTGTCCAGGTGGGTCTCGAACCCATGGGCTCAGGCAATCCTCTCACCCCAGCCTCCTAAAGTGCTGGGATTATAGGCATGAGCCACTGCCCCCAGCCGAGACCTCATCTCTTAAAAAAGTATATCAGCCGGACATGGTGGCTCTTGTCTGTAATCCCAGTACTGTGGGGGATGGAGGTGAGAGGCCTGCCTGAGCCCGTGGGTTCGAGACCAGCCTGGGCAACTTGGCGAGACCTTATCTCTATAATAAATCAAAAAATTAGCTGGGCATGGGGGTGTGGGCCTGTAGTTCCACTACTTGGAAGGCTGAGGCAGAAGCATCACCTGAGCCTGAGAGGTCGAGGCTAAGGCGGCCGTGAGCGTGCCACTGCACTCCAGCCTGGATGACAGAGTAAGACTCCGACTCAAAGAAAAGTATATGTATAATATATACATATATGTCTATATATAAATAAATATATGTATTTGTGGGGCATTGATCATGATAGGTTCATAGGTCTTTGTGTGGATCCAGCAAATTGATAAACGTCGTCAGTTTGGAACATACCTGGGAGCTGGTACTTTAACCCGGATTACAATGTAACGACTGTACTCGGTAACAAGCTTCCCACAGCGTAAGCCCAAGCTACTTTGTTACCAGGTCCTATCCTGAGCGCCCGCTAGGTCCCCTCTGCTGAACGCCAAAGACCATTGTCTCTTTCAACCATACCCATTTCATGGAGGGCGCTGAGGCACAGGACGAGAGGGGCGTTTACCTCCAGGGCCTCACATCCCTGGATGGCAGAACCAGGATTTGAACCCAGGCACCAGGGTGTGACACAGCCTGGCTCCCTCTCCTGCCGGGTGACTGTCGCCCTGTCTCTGTGAGCTTGGATCTCCGGGAAGTTCCCTAACCGGTGGGGGAGGGGGGCGGGGGGACCCCGGCCAGCCCCCACAGCCGGGACTCAGCCCGTCTCGACGCCAGTTTTCCTCCCTCCCCAGGAGTCTACCAGAAGCCCTCGCTCTCGGCCCAGCCCGGCCCCGCGGTGTCCCCGGGCGGGGACGTGACCCTGCACTGCCAGACGCCGCTGAGCTTTGACCAGTTTGCTCTGTACAAGGAGGGCGACGCCGAGCCCTACAAGAACCCCGAGAGGTGGTATCGCGCCAGCTTCCCCATCATCACGGTCACCGCCGCCCACAGCGGAACCTATCGCTGCTACAGCTTCTCCAGCGGGTCCCCGTACCTGTGGTCGGCCCCCAGCGACCCCCTGGAGCTCGTGGTCACAGGTGAGGGCGGTGCGGACCCAGCCTCCCCTCAGCCCTCCGGGTCCCGACGGCGGCGACTCCGAGGGGAGGGGCGCGGGGCGCGGTGGATGGAAAGCCGAGCGTGGGAGGAGGGGCCGTCTCCTGTTACCATGGTAGCAAAGCATCCAGACAGGCAGGGCGCCGCGCGCGCGCGCGGATCTGTCCTCCCCGCACTTTGGGAGGCCTCACGCCACGAGTTCGAGGTCAGCCTGGGCAACACAGTGAGACCTTGTCCCTACAAAAAATTAAAAATAAACTATATTATATATATGAAAAAAATCCCACAGAGTACCACAGGCCTACCAGCCCACAACTCAGATTTATTATTTTTATTTATTTATTTATTTTGAGTTAGAGTCTCACTCTGTCGCCCAGACTGGAGTGCAGTGGCCGCTCCCGGCCACCGCAGCCTCGACCTGCTGGGCTCCGGCGATCCCTCTGCCTCAACCTTCCGAGTAGCTGGAACTACAGGCGCGCGCTACCATACTCGGCTCATTTTGATTTTATTATAGAGATGAGGTCTCGCCAAGTTGCCCAGGCGGGTCTCGAACTCGCGGGCTCAGGCAATCCACTCACCTCAGCCTCCCAAAGGCAGGGGATTACAGGCTGAGCCACCAAGCCCGGCAACTCAGATTTATTTTATTTTATTGTAGCATTTTGGGGTACTAGTGAGGATTTGCTACATAAGTAGGCTGCAGGCAGGTGGAGTTTGGGCTTCTAGCTGGCTTTGTCTCCCCCTGATAGAGACCAGGCACCCAGTGTGTTGCCACGGCCCCCTCCCTCCCTTGCACTGTCCAGCGTCTGCTGATCTCACCCTGGTGCTTGTGGGACCGGTGTTCTGGGTTCACTTATGGGTGAGAACACGCAATATTCAGCTCTGTTTCCGTGATAGTCCGCCTAGTATGACGGTCTCCAGCTGCATACAGGTTGCTGCGACCGCCATGATTTTCTTCTTCTTGATGGCTGCATAGTATTCCATTGAACAGCAAAGATTTATGACATACTGTTCTGGGGGCCAGAGGTCCAGAATGGCTCTCACTGAGATAAGACACAGGCGGGGCCAGGGCCGGCTCCTTCTGGGGCTCTGGAGCAGTCCATCCTGCATCTTTTCCAACCCCCAGAGGCCACCTACATGCCCTGGCTTGCAGCTCTCCCTCCATCTTGGGCACCAGCAGGGTGAAGCATGCTTAAATTTTTTCTTTTCTGCTTCTTCTGTCTCCTTCTCCCATTTCTGAGGACGCCGTTGAGTACACACTCATCATCTAGTGTGTACTGTCACCTAGTGTTGGATAACAGGGACACACAGCTAGGAATGGTGGCTCACGCTTGTCATCCCAGCACTTTGGGAGGTAGAGACGAGAGGATGGCTGAGCCCAGGGGTTCGAGACCAGTCTGGGCAACATGGTGAGACCTCATCTCTACAATAAATGGAAAAATTAGCCTGGCCTGGTGGCACATGCCTGCAGTTCCAGCTACTTGGAAGGCCAAGGCAGAAAGATCACCTGAGCCTAGCAGGTCGAGGCTGCGGTGGCCGTGAGGGTGTCCCTGTACTACAGTTGGGTGATAAAGTGAGACTCCAACTCAAAAAACTCCCCAAACCAGAAAAAAACACAGGGACACTATTGTGATGAATTCATATGTCTTGTGAGGATTCAGTAACTGCTGTTACACTGAGCCTACCTGGACAAGCCCCCCATATCTTCTTTTTTGGAGTCTCTGTTGCCCAGGCTGGAACACAGGGGCATGCTCACGACCACTGCAGCCTTGACCTGCTGGGCTCAGGCGATCTTCCCGCCTCAACCTTCCAAGTAGCTGAGACCACAGGAGTGGGCCACCAGCCCAGCTAATTTTTTTTTTTTTGAGTTGGAGTCTCACTCTGTTGCCCAGACTGGAGTGCAGTGGCACATTCCTGGCCACCATAGCCTCGTCCTGCTGGGCTCTGGCGATCCTTCCACCTCAGCCTTCCAAGTAGCTGGAACTACAGGTGTGCACTACCATGCCTGGCTATAATTTTTTAAAATTTATTCATTGTAGAGATGAGGGCTTGTCAAGTTTCCCAGGTTGATCTCAAACCCCTGGGCTCAGGCAATCCTCTTGCCTTCTCTCCCAAAGTGCTGGGATGACAGGCGTGAGCCACTGTGCCCAGTCAATCCCCTCCCCCTCATCTCTAGACCCCATCCCTAGGGCCTGCTCATATGATCTAGAATTATCTCTGCACCTCAAGGACCTCAACTGAGCCACACCTGCAGAGTCTTTTCTGCCATGTGAAGCAGCATATTCATGGGTTTGGGTGACTCGTACCTGGACATGAGTGGGAGGCATCACGCTGTCCTCTACAGAGTCTATGAACTAAAAAAAAATTTTTTGAGTCAGGGTCTCGCTCTGTTACCCAGTCTGGGGTGTGGTGGCACGATCATAGCTATAGCAACCTGCTGAACTCAGGCAATCCTCCCGCCTCAGCCTCCTGAGTAATTGGGACCACAGACATGCACCGCCATGCCTGGCTACTTTTCTTTTTTTTAAGTTGGAGTCTCACTTTATTGCCCAGGCTGGAGTGCAGTTGCACACTCACAGTCATCGCAGCCTCGACCTGCTGGGATCAGGTGATCATCCTTCTGCCTCAGCCTTCCAAGTAGTTGGAACTACAGGTGTGCACTACCATGTTTGGCTAATTTTTTGGATGTATTGTAGAGACAAAGTCTCACCAAGTTGCCCAGGCTGGTCTTAAGCCCCCAGACTCAGGCAATCCTCTCGCCTCGACCTCCCAAAGTGCTGGGATGACAGGCTGAGCCACGGCACCTGGCCTGGCTGATTTTTTGATATATTGTAGAGACAAGGTCTGGCCAATTTTCCCAGGCTGGTCTTGAACTCCTGGGCTCAGACGATCCTCTCACCTCAGCCTCCTGAGTAGCTGGGACAGCAGGTGTGTGCTCCCCTGCTTGGCTAATTTTTTTTTTTATAGTTGTTGTAGAGACAATGTCTTTGTGTTGTGCAGGCTGGCCTGGAACTCCTGAGCTCAAGCAATTCTCTTGTCTCAGACTCCCAAAGTGCTGGGATGACAGGTGTGAGCCACCACGCCCAGTCTCAAAGTCTTTATTGGTGGAATCCAGCAGAACTCTGTTGATTGACATTTCTGTGCCTACCTGGGGTCAAGCCACTGCTCACCCCACACACATGGGTTTTCAACGCCCACAACTAATCCAGACTGGGCCTATCCTACCACCTAGTGGCTAATTTGAGACTCACACCTTTCTTTTTTCTTTTCTTTTTTTTTTTTTTTTTTTTTGAGTTGGAGTCTTTGTCGCCCAGACTGGAGTGCAGTGGCACGCTCCTGGCCACTGCAGCCTCGACTGCTGGGCTCAGGCAATCTTTCCACCTCAGCCTTCCAGGTAGCTGGAACTACAGGCATGCGCCACTATGCCCGGGTAATTTTTTAATTTATTGTAGCGACAAGGTCTTGCTATGTTGTCCAGGCTGATCTGAAACTCCTGGGCTCACTCAATCCTCCCGCCTGGGCCTCCCAAAATTCTGGGATTACAGGCATGAGCCACCATGCCCGGCTACTTTAGCTCTAAAATAGATTTTTTCGACACGCTATCCTAGCAAATGTCAGCATCTGAGAATATTACTTCTGTCTTTGTATTCTGTAAATAAAATAAAACAAAATAAAATTTATTTGAAATCACTTATATAGAAAAAAAATGTGTAAATGATAGCGTCTTTCGACTCATTTTCCAGGTGTGGAAATTGGGTCACAAAAACGTTACATTTGAAGCTGGGCGTGGTGGCTGATGCCTGTAATCTCAGCACTTTAAGAGGCCAAGGTGGGAGGACTGTTTGAGAACAGCCTGGGCAACATAGTGAGACCTCATCTCTACAAAAAAACAAACAAAACAAAACCCCCAAATCCCAAAATGTTTCATTATCTGCCAGGACCCACAGCAAACAGCGCACAGACTTCTCTCATTTTCTGGTTCCTCAGGTGCCTCTGTGACCCCCAGCCAGCCACCCACAGGACCACCTTCCTCCATACCAGGTAAGTCATGCAGGGTCAGCGCTGGTGCCCCGGGTATGAGGCACATGGACTCCTCCTCTCTTTCTCTCTCTGCCTCGATTTCTTGGTTTGTTTAACTTGCTGTGTCTTTCACACATTTGCTTCATTTTAGCCCCTCCTTCCTTTCTATTTCTGCCTGTGCAGAGGGCGTCCAGTGTAGACAGCTGTAAAAATGTGGTCCCCAACCTGCCCTCTGCGGATGGTTTAGAAGGTCTAACACGTAGACAAGAAATCTGGGCGGTGTGCTAAACCAGAGCATCCTGGACTCCGTTTCTTTTTCTTTTTCTTTCTTTCTTTCTTTCTTTCTTTCTCTCTCTCTCTCTCTCTCTCTCTCTTTCTTTTTTTTTTTGAGTCAGAGTCTCACTCTGTTGCCCAGGTTGAAGTGCAGTGGCACGCTCATGGCCACCATAGCCTCTACCTGCTGTGCTCAAGTGATCCTTCTGCCTCAGCCTTCTAAGTAGCTGGAACCACAGCCATGTGCCACAGTGTCCGGTTATTTTTTTGGATTTTTTTTTGTAGAGACGAGGTCTCACCATGTTGCCCAGGCAGGTCTCGAACTCCTGGACTCAGGCAATCCTCTCACCTCTGTCTCCCAAAGTGCTGATATGCTAGGCTGAGCCACTGCGTCCTCTGAGTCTCTGGTTCCATTGGTCAGAAGTTCTCGAACTTTTGTGGGCATAAGAATCTCCTGGCAAGCTGGGAGATGGAGGCGAAAGGATTGCCTGAGTCCAGGAGTTCAAGACTCGCCTGGGCAAAATGGTGAGACCTCGTCTCTACAAAAAAATTAAAAAAAAAAGAATTAGCTGGGCTTTGTGGTGCATGCCTGTGATTCCAGTTCCTTGGAAGGCTGAGGTGGAAGGATTGCCTGAGCCCAGCAGATTGAGGCTGTGGTGGCCGTGAGTGTGCCACTGCACTCCAGCCTGGGCGTCAGAGTGAGACTAAAGAAAGTGGAAATAGGCCAGGCACGGTGACTCAAGCCTGTAATCCCAGCACTTTGGGAGACCGAGGCAAGAGAATTGCCTGAGCTCAGGGGTTCGAGATCAACCCAGGCAACTTGGCAAGACCGTGTCTCTACAATAAATCCATGGTAGTACGCGCATGTGGTTCCAGCTACTTGGAAGGCTGAGGTGGAAGGATCGCTAGATCCCAGCAGGTTGAGCCTGCAGTGGCTGGGAGCGTGGCACTACATTCCAGCCTGGGTGATGGAGTTAGATTCCAACTAAAAAAAAAACAACAAACAGAAAAACAAGGGTACCTGCATAATCAACATTTGTATACCTAACCCTGAGTTGTACCCCACACCTTTATAATAATAATAAAAAAAGAATGAGGAAACAACCCAAATGTCCTTCAACTGATGAATGGACCCGCTTCCTACTAAGCCACTGAGAAACTGAAGAGAAACATTAGGACCTTTTGAATTTCCTTCTGCTCAGCGTCCTTGGCATGTGTGTCTAATAGAGGGGTTTAGGAAGACCAGATATCCCAGAAGAGGTTTGGGGACTAGGGACCCACTGGGAATACCTGACGTTATTTCCTTTCTTTTTTGGAGTTGGGGTCTCACTCTGTTGCCCAGGCTGGAGTACAGTGGCACGCTCATGGCCACTGCAGCCTCCTTCTGCCTCAGATTTCTGAGTCATTGGGACTACAGGCATGCACCACCATACTGGGTAATTTTTTTTTTTTTTTTAGTTGGAGTCTCACTTTGTCACCCAGGCTGGAGTGCAAGTGGCACCATCATGGCCACCACAACCTCGACCTGCTGAGCTCAGGCCATCCTTCTGCCTCAGCCTTCCAAGTAGCTGGAACCACAGTTGTGCGCCATCCTGCCCAGCTAATTTTTCTTGGTTGATTGTAGAGATGAGGTCTTGCCAAGTTACTCAGGCTGGTCTCGAACCCGTGGGCTCAGGCAATCCTCTCGCCTCAACCTCCCAAAGTGCTAGGATTATAGGTGTGAGCCACCACGCCCGGTCCAGGTGAATCCTTTAATTATTTTGTAGAGATGAGGTCTCACTATGTTGCCCGAGCTGGTCTTGAACCCTGGGCTCAAAGAATTCTGCCTTGGGCTTCCAAAGTGTTTGAGATGATGGGATCAGCCCCTACATCTGGCCTCTGACGCTATTTCTCTTCCTTATGATCCTTCTTAGAACCCCCAGGAGCCTCCAGCCAACCGACTACCTCACCCATGAGCAAAGCCCCCACCACGAGTGAGTAGCCAGGCACTTCACGCTCAGCCAGAAGGAGTGTGAGGAGGGGCTCCCTGTTCCATGATCTTGACTCGTATAGGCTTTAATGCACCTGACTAAACCTCTGTCTCTTTCCACAAAAGTCCTCCATTGGAAGCTAGAGGGAGGGGCGGAGGGGGGGGGTGCCCTGAGGTTGGGAAGAGGAGCATTCTGGGAAATGTGGGTGTTTCAAAGATGGTGGAGCCGAGGCTACGATGGGAAGACAGATGGGAAGACCGTCACCCACCCACCCAGCCCTGCATACTGCTCTCAGGGTCAAGCCCAAGATCATCCCACTTGGCTCTGGCCCAGTTTTTTTTTTTGAGCCAGGGTCTCACTCTGTCACCCTGGCTGGAGCGCAGTGGCACAAGCATGGCTCACCACAGCCTTGACCTCCTGGGCTTGGGTGATCCTCCCTCCTCAGCCTCCAGAGTAGCTGGGACTACAGGTGAGTAGCCACCACGCCTAGCTAATTGTTGTACTTTTTTTAGAGATGGGGTGTCGCTGTGTTGCCCAGTCTGGTTTTGAACTCCTGGGCTCAGGCATTCCTCCCACCTCAGCCTCCTGAGTAGCTGGACTACAAGTGTGTGCACCACGTCGCCTGCTTATTTAATTTTTTTTTTTTGTAGAGATGAGGTCTTGCTATGTTGCCCAGGCTGGTCTCGAACTCCTGGGCTCAAGTGATACTCCCATCTCAGCCTCCCAAAGCACTGGGATCACAGGTGTGCACTGCTGTGCCTGGCCAAGAACACTTTGCCCTTTTTTTAATTGGTGGCTTCCCCTGCCCTTTCTCAGTGTCATGTGGGCTAGCTACTAAAGCAATTTCTACAGTGTATTAAAATGAGCACTTTGCTTCCTGACCCCTTCCAGAATCTGGAAACACCACATGGACAGTGTGTGATTAATATGTTGGTCCCCATAAGCCAGCACATGGCTGAGTATGTGGCACATCTCAGAAAACACTTGAGAAACAAGAGAGCTATACAAGGGGAACTCAAAAAACCCAGAATGTATTCATTAAAAACTGTGCATTGGCTGGGCATGGTGGCTCATGCTTATAAGCCTAGCAGTTTGGGAGGCTGAGGTGAGAGGATTGCTGAGTCCATGGGTTTGAGACCAGCCTGGGCAACTTGGGAAGACCTCATTTCTATAATATATCAAAAAATTAGGCAGACATGGTGGCGTGTGCCTGTAGTTCCAGTTACTTGGAAGGCTGATGCGGAAGAATCGCCTGAGCCCAGCAGGTTGAGGCTGTGGTGGCCATGAGTGTGCCACTGCATTCCAGCCTGGGCAACAGAGTGAGACTGACTAAAAAAAAAAGTTTGAGTGCGATGGCTCACACCTATAATCCCAGCACTTTAGGAGACCGAGGTGAGAGGATTGCCTGAGCCCACAGGTTTGAGACTAGCCTGGGCAGCTTGGTGAGACCTCATCCCTACAATAAATTAAAAAATTAGCCCGGCATGGTGGTACGTGCCTGTCATTCCAGCTACTTGGAAGGATCACCTGAACCCAGCAGGTCAAGGCTGCGGTGGCCATGAGCAGTGCGTCACTGCACTCCAGCCTGGGCAACAGAGTGAGACTCCAACTAAAAAAACCTCAAAACAACAACAAAACAAAAACAAAAACAAAAACAAAAACAAATTGCTGAACACTCAGTGAGGAGTAGACAGGTGCGCTCACAACTTACCCATCATGAAATTGGCAGATGCATTGAAAGAATCTCCAGCTGGGCTCGGTGGCTCAGCCTGTAATCCTGTGCCTTTGGGAGGCTGAGGTGAGTGGATTGCCTGAGCCCGCGGGTTCGAGACCCGCCTGGGCAGCGAGACCTCATCTCTACAATACATCAAAAAATCAGCTGGGCGT